TTTAAATTTATAATATTTACAGGGAAAAAAAGGGGTTTCTAGCCCCCTTTCTCCTGGCTTTTAGGGGCGCCTCTTACGACACCATTGGCTTATGGAGGAAGAATTCGTTCCGCTTTCCCCATAGAGAAAGAGGAAATAAACAAGAACAAAAAAACTAGAAAGAAAATGCGAAAACCCGAGGGGGGTGTGTATATATATGCTTGTACAGTTGTGTATGTGGCCTAAGTGTAATAGAAATAGCAAAAAACGTACCCGAAAACTTTATGTTTATGAACAGAAAAAATGACACCCCGCAAACCACCACATTAAAAAAAATTACGGCTTTCGTTTTTAAAATCACTTGGCAGGACAGTAGTACCTCCCGGGGGGGTTTTTTGTAAACCAAACCCTTCTGCCTAGGTTAAGCATGAATTTCTCTTTAAATGTTTTTTTAAAGGGGACTTAATAAACTCTGCATTCATAAGCTATACAAGTTTTTTAACACAAAAAGGAAAAAAAAAAGCACAATTTTTGGTTAAAAAATTTTTTTTGGGCAAAGACTGAGCTGTGGGGCATGACCCCTGAAACACCCCCCCGGTAGACCCTCCAGCTAGTATTTTCCTTGCTGTACTTAGCAAAAATGGGGGTACGGGGGGAAAAAGGATACCCCCCTCATGTCAATGAGCGATTGGAATATCTCAGGGGGGGTGCCAGAGTTTTTTGTCTTAAAATTTAGCTATGCTAATTCTTGTACACTTTTAGTGCATATATCAAGCTTTTACCTTTTTAACTTTTTGGGCTACATTTTTTTAATAGTATTAGGATTCTATGTCAATCAGTAGTTTACCATATAAAACTTGGGTTATTTTCACTGGTGGCACCAATAGCAGCAAAATTCTTACCAGCCTTCCTTGAAGCCACACTAAAGAAACGTTCACATGCCACAAGAAATGTTTACTAGCACCCTTTCCCTTCCATCCCTAAGCCTCCCTAATTGTGGCTTATAATATCACAGGTTTACCTCGTTTCATGTGGGCTCGCTTTATGCCATTTCACTGTTAGGAGATGTCCCATTTCTAATGGTAATTCCATCCATGTGATTCACATCCTCCACATGTGATCAGTGAGGCTCACATAACATATTTAAAAATCTTTTGTGGAATTAACTGTTGCTGGCCTGATGACTTCCATGGACCTGCAAGGCAACTGTTATGTAAAGCAAGGGACACAGGTAGCAATATAAATAAGAGAGAGTTTCATGTTGTATCTGTGTGCCTCTTCAAAGACGTGATAAGCATTTTTTTTTCCTTAAGTCACCCCTTCTCAGTGGGAGATGGCCACCGTGTTAAAAAAGAAGAAAAGCATGCTTTTGAGATTGGGTGGGGTTTTCATTCTGTTGCAGATGGGTCTCTGTATTCTGATGATAGACATTTTACTTTACATTATGCATGTGTGATTGTCCTTTTGAATGAGAGGGTTTGCTTGCCTGGATCTTTATGCCTGGCAGTGTATTGCTTGAGCAACCCTTAGTGATGGGTGTATGACTTCGTTCAGAGCCTGGAAATAAAAGATCTGTGCATGTATCAGGGCCAAATATGCTCTCTAATACCTCTGTATTGTGGCTTCCTCCTTCATGATTTAGGGTCCTAGTTGTAGGAGTCCTAGCAATCCATCAGAATACATTTTTGAAATTAGAAAAATGCATTTCTGTATTAGGTTCAAAGAACCTGAAGAGCACTATCTCCAAGTATCAGCTATGTATATGTTTTTTGAGTGACCCTTTCTCACCTCAGCTGAGGCTGGTTGTAGAAAGTAGGAGTTATAATTATTAATATATTTTCTTTTATAATTTTAGTCTAGTCATACAGGCAAATTTTTTACCTCTTTAGTTAAGCCATACATAGAAAACTTCAGGCAATGCATTGCATACACCATGCAGGATGCATCTTTTTATAGAATTTGTTGTTTAATCAAATTTATTGATTGAATGAGGACTTAGGGCATTTTTCAAGTATCATATAGCAGTTATTCTTTTACATAATTATCCATAATTATGTCATCTTTACTGCACCTCTTTTGTTATTTTTCTGTGTTCTACATTACATAATACTGTCATTATCACATTGATATTTTTATTTTAATTTAACATGGCATTGAAGTTAGTCTTTATCTTCTATTACAATACTGTAAATTTCAGTTCTGAATTTATTCATTTTTTTCCTTGAAGCTATTCATATGCTACACTTTTTTGAGATAATTCAATTTGTAATCATATTGTTATATATTTGGACTATGATGTATTGGTCATAAGTGTTGTCCATTATCCTATCTTTTTCAGGTAATGTGTTCCCTACAATGTGTGTTCTGACAGTGATTTTTTTTTTTTACCTTTGTTTCTGTCTTTTTTTTCTTTCCTACTAAAATTTGTTCTTTTACCTCCTCTGTGGGAGTTTACTTGATATACACAGAAGTAGTAAAAATGTCTTAATAAGTCTGCAGCTATACACCTTATTTTCCATATGGTATTCACTGAATTTACAAATTCATAAATTTGTTTCACTGTTGATAGACTTATATTGCAGTGTACCATGTTTGCATATAGATTATTCTGCAATGAGTGTGACACTATAGACCTATTGTATTTACTCTTATTGAGGTGTAGAACACTGTCTTGTGACTGTTTACTGTAATGTTGGTATGCACACCATCGGAGTAAGACAAAATAAGCCTAATTATGAAATTCATATGAACAGTCATTTAATATAACGAACCATTATTCATCACACATGGGAATGTAATAATATTAATATTATTAACCTTGTTTATAAAAGCATTAGTATTTACTGAGGATGAAATATGTAGTACAGTATTATATTAAAACGAAGACAGTGATTATATATGAGTGAGGTGAAAGTGTTGAATGATGATGAAAGTATTTTCTTTTTGGGTCACCCTGCCTCGGTGGGAGGCGACTGACATGTTGAAAAAAAAAAATTACTGCTAAATAAAAGAAAATCGTTGAAATTTTTGGGGACATGGGTTTTTACTTTAAAATTACTTTGTTTTGAAGTGTAGAGTCAAAGTTACTTTGGTTAAAGATAAGGAAGAATAGTTTTAAAAGTGAAATGAATACCAATCAGTATTTGTGCTTTTGAGTATGTAATAAACATACAAGGAAATGCATGTTATACTGTATAAATATTCATTATACAGTAGTCCCCCTATGTCCATGGCTGATATGTTCCAAGACCTGCTACAGATACCTCAATCCTTGGATAGTAGCAAACTTTATATGAGTAATTCGTTTTTCATTTACATACATATCTATGATAAAGTTTAATTGATAAATTATGCACAATAAGTGGAGAATTATCACTTTTTCACTGATGGGGAGCACTTGACGGCTTCTCTTAGACGTTGAAGAACTGAAAGAAAGAAATTGTTCCATGCTGTATGTACTGTGTATAATAAGTGTCAGGAGCCCAAAACTGTTCAACTGCCTCCCAGCATACATAAGGAGGATTACCAATAGACCCTTGGCTGTCTTCAAAAAGGTGCTACACAGGCAGTGGTTCTTACTTTGGTTTACGTGCAGCTAGCAGTAACAGCCTGGTTGATCAGACCCTGATCCACCACGAGGCCTGGTCTCAGACCGAGATATGGGGGTGTTGACCCTCAAAACCCTCTCCAGGTATAATCTAGGTATGACTGAAGGCAGTGAATTAACCTGAGTGTTGTAAGTAACACTATAGTGCTGTGTGAGTGTGAAAGTATTAGTGCATCTCAGTCTGCTGCACTATATTAAATATCTTTATGAATATTTAAGAACTAAATTACGATATAATGCAGAGAATTCGTAGTTTGGAAGTTAGGAGGAGGTGCGGGATTACCAAAACTGTTGTCCAGAGGTCTGAGGAAGGTTTGTTGAGGTGGTTTGGACATGTAGAGAGAATGGAGAGAAACAGAGTGACTTCAAGAGTGTATCAGTCTGTAGTGGAAGGAAGGCGGGATAGGGGTCGGCCTAGGAAAGGTTGGAGGGAGGGGGTAAAGGAGGTTTTGTGTGCGAGGGGCTTGGACTTCCAGCAGGCATGCGTGAGCGTGTTTGATAGGAGTGAATGGAGACGAATGGTTTTTAATACTTGACGTGCTGTTGGAGTGTGAGCAAAGTAACATTTATGAAGGGGTTCAGGGAAACCGGCAGGCCGGACTTGAGTCCTGGAGATGGGAAGTACAGTGCCTGCACTCTGTAAGGAGGGGTGTTAATGTTGCAGTTTAAAAACTAGTGTAAAGCACCCTTCTGGCAAGACAGTGATGGAGTGAATGATGGTGAAAGTTTTTCTTTTTCAGGCCACCCTGCCTTGGTGGGAATCGGCCAGTGTGATAATAAATAATAAAAAATAAATTACAACTGATGCACTCTCTGTCATATGGAAAAGGAAGTGCAGTAATAAGTAGGTAAAATATTATAAAAATATTGTACTATATTATTTTTCTTCTCATAAAATGCTGACCTATAGGATTAATAGAAACCACAAATCATCAGTATAATGAATATTATTCATGCATTATGCATTTGTTTAAGATTAGTGGTTATATCATTCATAGAAACAGTTCTGTCTGCATCATAAATTATCATTGCAGTTTGCTTAGAGATAATAGTGTCTGGGTAAATAAGAGTTGATATTTACATTTTCAAAAAAAACAATGTGTATGAATATGAGGTGAGCTCAAAAGAATTCCATGAGATCTTGTCTCTAAATAATTTTAAATGCAAAAACATTAATATTGTGGTATAATGGGCCATATATGATTAGGCCTTCTTAATATTTAAAATGAAAATTCATCATATGTAGTTGATCTAGAAAGCACCAGCTGTATTCATTTATGCAAATGAGCTTAATTATTTATAGTTGTTGTATTCACGTACTGTAGGTATGTTCAGTGTACCACAATGAAGATGTTTTCCTCCACATGACATAAAATTTGCACTAACCACTGAAACCCTTGCATCTCTCTGACAGGTCATAGATTTAGGGGTGATATTCCACCCTGGATCGTACCTCAGGGATTTTTGGAACATAATGGACTCCGTGGTTGTCATATGTGCTGCCGTTTCATTTTGTTTTGATATGATGTGAGTAGATGTGCACCCTGGTACAGTCTTTGTTTCGTTTATTTTTATTTTCACCAAATTTAACAAAATTCCATGTTATTGATATGTAGTAATTTATGTTATGTAAATTGTATGTTAGTGTTGATAATTTTATTTGACTTTTGATTATTAGGTTGTAATATTACCCGAGGATTTTTGATACCACTCAATATCATCCAAGGCTTGGTGGCTTTCACTAGTGATTTATGTGAGTTGGTGGTACTTGCTAGTGTCATCCATGGAGTACTAAAGTTACTAACATTCTAGATTTAGTTGCATTCCTGATTACCATAGTTGGGCTCATTGTGTTGATATTGTTCTTGGTCTTGTAGTACTTTGAAAAACATTCTTGGATTTGTGGTGCTGATATATTAAGGTCTGTGGTATGCATCATATTCACTAATATTATCTAGGGAGTTACAGTACTCGGTATTCATGTATTTATGCTACTCAGTCTTATTTGGCATTAATTATATTCATCCTAATCAGATGTCTTTAATCTATGAATATATACCATTTATATTGGTGGAGTGTGCTTGTAATTAAAAAAAAATTTGTACAGCGAGCGTTTTGTGGCTGGGTCTTCTTCTCTTTTATCCAAGTCATTCATTGTTTACCTTCCTGTTAAGTCACAAGCATTAAAGGAACTATTTACTTGGTTGTACACTTGTATCACAGTCTTGTATTAATGCTCTCTTTCCCACTAATTCTTTTGGTCTTCTCTTGTTCACCATGTGCCTTTTTATTGCTTGCTTTGACAAATGCAAGACATTGTAAAATTGGGAAGAGTAGATACTGAATTACAGTATTGTTTGCTGAATCACTTTTTTTTCAGGTTTTCTTAGTTTATTGATAATTTACAGAAATGTCTGCAATCCTTATCTTTTCATTTCAAGAATATATTCAATGGTTTAACTTTTGGATTAACAAATTCTGATTGTAGTATTATTTCCTGAGTTTAGTGCTCATCAGTATCACTTTTTTTTGAGCTTACAATTATTATCAGCTGAGTTTGTGGTACTTTATTTTTTCAAGAATTCCTTTGGTTTGTGGTACTCATCACTATTATCCTAATCTCTAATAGAACAGTTCTTCTTTAAGTAATATACCTAGGTCATAAATACATGTCATTGTTTTCCAAAGCTTAGAATTGCACATGCATGTTTTCACAGTATGTGATGCCGTCAACTTTGTAAGTTCACTTATGTTTGTTAATCCTAAGTTAATGGTACTGTCTTGAATTATCCATGCTTTATCGGTATTTTTTATTTGCTCCTAAGTTAAAAATCTTCATTTTCATCCATGTTGTAATGATGCTCGCCATTGTCATCTAGGTGCTGATACAACTTCATCATTGTCAGTATTAATTTTGTGATATCTTATGATGTGATTATAATTGCCAAAATCACTGGTTAATGGTACTAATTAGTTATCTTGGGGGTGATGCATCAAACCTCTTATTAATTTGTGATATCTTATGATGTGATTATAATTGCCAAAATCAGTGGTTAATGGTACTAATTAGTTATCTTGGGGGGGATGCATCAAACCTCTTATTAATTTGTGATGACGGGACTCTCCACTTGTTGGGTCTGGATCACAGTATGGTGTTTCTCCTAGCTTGATAATGCAGTTTCATTCAGTAGTGCTTACCCTATTTCAGATAAGTGTTTTTGTCATTATGCTACTATGTTTGCTCATAGGTAGGTGGTAGTATATTGAAAAGTATCTTAATATTGTTTTGGTGGTGTTCACCAGTACCATTCTTGGGATGATGTCGTTCTCTGATAGAATGGATAGGTGATAGTCAGCTTTATTAGTAATACTGTCTGGCACCATAATGTTGATAGGGCTCATATCTTACCTAGAGTAATGTTTTCAGCCACAATTACGATGGCTGTGCTGTTATATATAGTGTGAGGATACATTACACAAATAACCCACACATGAGAGAGAAACCTATGACAGTATTTTGGTTTGACTTGGAGCTTTGTATCAAATTTTCCCTCCTCTTCCCTGCTCATTGGGTACATAATTGGCTGAGGCAATGTGCATAAGCATCTTTTCCTGCACTGCAGAAATTGGTACACTGTGGGAGGAAATCTGATTACTGACTCGGATTGGTTGTTGTCATGTTATTCTACTGACACTCAGGCTGGCAGGAAGGGTACATCTTTCATGATTAGGAATGTTCATCACATTTTCCTTTTCTGGATATTTGGACAGTTTTCCTTCCCAACATAGAGGGAGGTATGGCTTCATAAGCTGGTAGTGTTGTCACTATCACTTGGGTATTGATTGTGCCTAGAATGTGTCTCCTCAGAAAATTGGGTTTAGAATTATCATTAAATGAGTTTGTAGATTTGATTTTTATAAATACAGTTTACTATTTAAGTATTGCTTTCAGGTAGTTGTCCTCACAGACTTATTTTTTCTCTCTTGTTAATTCCAGTCTTTGCTACTGTTTTCTTTCATTGTTACTTACAAATACTTCTTATAGGGCAGCATCAGTCTTCATTACAGTTCACTTATAATCCTCATTAATCACCTGTAAGTTTATGCCACTCATTATTGTTAGAGTTAGGAGTACTTAGCATAATCTTTCTTGAAGTGAGGATTGTTCATTTTCTTTTATTCTCCATTACAAATATCTCAGTATCACATCAGTGATCTCTTCTACCAGTTAAACAAACTGGTTAGTAAAATGTTGTATATAACATGTGGATATGCATGCTTTTTTGTATCATGCACTTTAAAATAGTAGCGACTATCACTAATGTCATCAAAGATTACATAATAATACTTAATGTTTTGCTATGCTCTTACAATATTTGCATACAATATTTAATTCAACTTGTTTCTGAATTAGTTGTGTGTTACAAAATGTATTCAAATAAAGTTTGTGCGCTCACACACTTGTGCATGCATGTTAGTGTGCATGTGATTACTTATTTTTGAATGCCTATTTGTAGCTACAGGTACAGAGCTATATTCACAGTATGTGATTCTTCTTCTTTCAACAAAACCGGCGGCATCCCACCGAGGCAGGGTGGCCCAAAAAGAAAAACAAAAGTTTCTCTTTTTAAATTTAGTAATTTATACAGATTATCAGTGTTTAATCTATCCTATAATATTTAAAATAAGTCAGTGGTTGTAGCCCTCATTTGCCAACTTCTCTAAGATCCCATTCCAGTGTTCTGCCATTCTTTTTGTGAAGAAAAATTTTAGTATCCCTTTAGTACCTCTTGTTGTCTCTCAATTTAACTGTGGTCTCTTGTTCTCCCTGTTGATGGTGCAGAGAAATAATTTTTTATCTATTTTTTCTTAGTCTTATATCATCATCTGTATGATTACCATGTCTCTTTAGCCAGCAACAGAATTTTTTATGTTTTCAGTTCTTCCGACCTCATAATTTCTGGCCTTAGGAATCATTTATGTTAGATATTTTCTGGCTTATCTTTCTTGTCAGTCTTTTAGATATGGATATGGCACATTGGATAATCCAGTTTTGGTAGAACATACACTCAGTGGCCACTTTATTAGGTACACCTGTACACCTGCTCATAAATACAAAAAAAAAAATATTTAATCATCCAATTATGTGACAGCACCTCAATGCCTAAAAGCTTGCAGACATGGTCAAGAGGTTCAGGTGTTGTTCAGACCAAACATCAGACTGGGAAAAAAAAAATGATCACAGTAACTTTGACCATGGAATGATTGTTGGTGCCAGGCAGTATCTCAGAATCTGCTGATCTGGAATTTTCATGCACAACAGTTTCTAGAGTTTACAGAGAATGGTGTGAAAAATACAAACATTCATTGAGTGGCAGTTCTGTGGCCAAAAATGCCTTGATAATGAGAATGGTTAGACTAGTTCAAGCTGACAGGAAGGTGACAGTAACTCAAATAACTACACATTACAGCAGTGGTATGCAGAAGAGCATCTCTGAGAATGTAAAATACAGTGGACCCTCGACCAGCGATGGCATCGATTAACGATAAATCTGACTAGCGATACATTTTATCGCAAAAATTTTGCCTCGATTAGCGCTAAAAAACTCGACCAACACTATTCCTTCCGTCTGAGACGAGTCCACTTCTGGCCAGTGTTTACAAGCCAGCTGGCCACCGCGGTCGCTTCCAAGCATACAATCGGAACATTTCATATTATCACAGCCTTTTTAGTGATTGCACCTGCAAAATAAGTCACCATGGGCCCAAGAAAGCTTCTAGTGCCAACCCTACAGCAAAAAGGGTGAGAATTACTATGGATATGAAGAAAGAGATCATTGCTAAGTATGAAAGTGGAGTGCATGTCTCCGAGCTGGCCAGGCTGTACACAAAACCCCAATCAACCATCGTTACTATTGTGGCCAAGAAAACGGCAATCAAGGAAGCTGTTCTTGCCAAAGGTGCAACTATGTTTTCGAAACTGAGATCGCAAGTGATAGAAGATGTTGAGAGACTGTTATTGGTATGGATAAACGAAAAACAGATTGCAGGAGATAGCATCTCTCAAGCGATCATATGTGAAAAGGCTAGGAAGTTGCATGACGATTTAATTAGAAAAATGCCAGCAACTATTGGTGATGTGAGTGAATTTAAGGCCAGCAAAGGTTGGTTTGAGAGATTTAGGAATCGTAGTGGCATACATAGTGTGATAAGGCATGGTGAGGCTGCCAGTTTGGACCAAAAAGCAGCTGAAAAATATGTGCAGGAATTCAAGGAGTACATAGACAGTGAAGGACTGAAACCTGAACAAGTGTTTAATGGTGACACTGACAATGTTGTGAAACACGTTAGGAATGTCATAAAGGAACGGGAGGCACAGGCCTCTATGGGCAGATATGTTGTGCAACAGAGGTCCAGTGACTCTCAAGCTGGTCCTAGTGGCATTAAAAGAAGGGAAGTAACCCCGAAAAAGGACTTGCCACCTCAAGTCCTAATGGAAGGGGATTCCCCTTCTAAACACTAAGACC